TGCAGCTACGTCCAAGAGACGTTTGGTGAAATGCGCGACCTGTGTGTCAAGGTCTTCCACAAGCGGTTCGAAGATGAAGACCGCATTATCATTGCCTACCGCACCATCTCGCTCGACGAAGCCCACCCTGGCCCCCGCGACCCGGAAGAATACCAAGAATGGTTCGAGATCATTTCATTTGGGGAGGTTGCGCTCACTACAGCACTTTGAATGGTTAGGAATGAAATTCGGCGCATCACGGCCAACTCGTGCTTGGTCCGCACCGTCAACTATCTCGAGCCGCGGCAGCCGTTTACATCCGTGCTTGACTACGTTGAGGCTTTGTACCCCGAACTCTACCACCGCGGCGTTGCTGAGTATGCGACACAGCTCGCCGACGGTTCGTCGCTCGAGCAGTACATGAATCGCTTCCTGCTGCAGCGCGCGGCGTGGATCGCAACCCATCACTTTGAGCACTTGAACCAAACCGTCGATTGCGTGCTGGCACGACCCGACTGCTTTCACTACTAGCCATGAGTGCAAATGTGTGTGTTTTGCTTTTATCGAGGTGCAAAGTCGTTGAATAGTACACAATATTGTCTTGCTGCGTATGTCAAGAGACTCATCTTTGAGTGCAATGGACAAAAGGCGAAACCTCCAGTGCGCGCGGAAGAGAAAAGATCATGTCCGACCCGACCGGCCACAATCTTGGCGCGGACTTTGCGCTCTCTTGACCATGCAAGTGCCGTTTGTATTGTCTAATCATGTAGTTGTCCTCGATTGTAACCCACTGGTGATGGCATTTACTAATGTATGTCAAGAACAACAACAATCGAATTTGACCACCATTGTTTGTGGTTAAATTCGATGTTATTATATAAAATATATGCGGACGAAGGAAGCGAGCAGTTTCTTTCAGCCCTGCACTGGATGGTGGAATTCTTTTTTGAGCTTGGCACGCACGTCGCCTCCTCATCCACCATGCATCGATGCATGGAAATCGATCAAGAGGGGGGCTTGATATTAAAAAAAGCGCCCCGTAACTACTGAAATATATCGACTTCGTCCACCAAGTGATGCTCCGCGCGGTCAAGTTCCGCGCACATTTGCACTGGCTCGACAGGGCCGACCAAGCGTGCCTCTTCTGCCCCGCACACGAGACGTACCGCCACTTCCTCGTAGACTGCGACTTCATCAAGGACGTGTGGAGCACGCTTCACGCCGTCACTGTCCCTTTGG